GATAAATTATCGCATCTGATTAACTCAATGTGCAGTATATAGGTTGTTCGATGCGTACTTCATCCAAAAGAATTCAAGAACATTATCCGGCGTGGCTAAAAAGAGGAGGCAACGGCTCAATAAGAAGTTCTATAATCGAACACCTTGTGAACATAGGTCATTCAATCAAGACAGACTCTGCGTTCAAAGTCATCTACAAGGTAAGTAGAAGTCTTCCTAAGACAATTAGATTGCATCTTCTCTGCATTGTCGAAGCAATAGCCATACATCTGGAAAAACCAGAATTATGTGCGCAAAAGAGACTGTTACAACCTCTTCTTCTATCATGGTCTTAATGTATTAAAATTTTTCCTCTCTCTTTTTCATACTCTTGTTCCTTTACAGCCATCTGCTTCACATTCCATCTTCCCTTTAAATCCTCAACTCTCAACTGTTTTATTTCTGTTTCTACGATCATCCTGATTTTGAGATGGTGAAGATTTGTAGCTCAGGTGGATGATTTTGGTGGAGTTTTGTTCTCTGAGCTGGATGGTTTGGTCGTGGTGCTTTCATCGTTCTTCTGAACGACATCATCAGTACAAACTTCAGATAGAAGTGAAGTGTTCGAATTTCTCCATATGTGTTTCACAGCTTGTTCTGTGCACCTCGATGTTGATTGGTTCTTGCTGACCTTAGATTTATCATTGTTTACTTCTTTGTTTTGGTTGTGTCTCCCATTGGTTTGATTTTTGTCCCTATATTTGTGCATGATCTTCCTGATTGGTTGATAAATTGGATTGATTTCAATATGCTTGTTGATTGCTGATTGACCTGAGTGCCAGGCTTCTAAAAATTCTCTGGTGTTTTTGGAGTTTCCTCTGTCTAAGATTTCCGCATTTTTCCAATCGAATGAGTGTCCGTAGTTATCCACGTGTATTGATATAAGTGAAGAGATATCATGGCGTTTGACTGCTAATTGATGTTCATGTAGGCGAAGGTGAAGGGGGCGTCCACCAAAATCATCCTGATTACATTTCATCTCTGTTTCAACATTTTGTCTTATCATGCCGAGCTCTTCTTTGCCAATGATAATTTCCCTATCTTTTGATGAATACTTAAAACAATAACAATCAAACGATTATTAAACTTTCCTTGTTTTAAATTTTTTTTATATTTTTTAATACCTTTGTTTATTGAACCTCACTGTCACCATGTATAACAGAAGTTTATTATCAGTATTATTATCACCCTGTAAAAATAAGTATATATATATATTTGCGATTGTACAGCTTTGAAAATGAGTTCGCTCGAAAAGAGAACTCTTCGCTGAACTAATCTTTCTTATTTAATGTCTTAATGGGTGTATTCGGTTTATTAGAATATACTTTTAACAAAGAGCTTTTTTTTCCATGTCTATTAAAAGAAATATACATTCTGTTTTATAAAAATGTGTACAATTACTTATGAAATGCTACTTAAAAATAGAAAATAATGCAATAAATCAACAGCTAAATGTGTTTATATATATATAGTTAGATATTTCAGATTGTACAATCACGTTTGCATAGATCAAAGAGCATTTTAATAAGTAATCGGCAAGACTATAATTTATGAACGAGCCAATTAGAAGCGTCTTAGAGATTTCAAGGTAACGACTCCAACTTCAGTGCTTAATGCTAACGTACGATCGGTTCACAAGGAATTTTGTACAAAACGTGATAAATGAGCAACTATAACAAATAAAGCGGCGAGACTATAATTTGTGAACGAATCAATCAGGTGTAAGATGATAGATCTCGGATTTTAATGTGAAAGCCTTTCATCCATTTGTCTAAATAAATTTCTGGCATTATAGCTGATGTCAGTTTGTGATTAAAACCCCATATATAGTTCCTAACTAAGGCGAATTATGACAATTATCGCGAATGGGATAATAAAAGCACCAGTAACACTGGCTGCAGCCAGGTGCTACAATATATACGGATGTTTGGAGAGCGTACAGACTCCTACATAGGCTTGGTTATGTGCATCGTGTCGTTATCCACAAGTGGCATTTTGTGTACTCTAAAACTGGAGTGCACATAAACAATATTGGAGCTATGCGGTCGAGACTGAAAGGGTTTTTTAGACTTTATCATGGCTCCAAAGGCTGACTGTTCTTTAGCCGTATGGATGATTTCCTCTACTGCATGCATTACGATTTTAAAACCTCTGAATCTCTTTCTAACCTTGACAACTTTTCGAACCACGTATAAGAAGTGTATCCACTTTATTTCCTTGGTTTTGTATAACATCTTTTTACTCTATACTGACTGTCTGCTGATTGGCTAATAGTTCTCAAGGTTACTTAAGATTCGTTCAAATGTCGTCCATAACTTAGAGTCTCGCCGTTTCTGAACCCAAAATTAAATCATGTAGTGAAAGAATGAACTTTAATATAAGAAAAAAAAATTACAAAAATGCTTAGTCAAAAAAAGGGTATAACATAATGATCTTTTTTCATAAGACATTGAAAAACTGAATAATAAATAATAGATTTAAGTGTAAAATAAAAAATAAAACTCTCTCTTCTTAAACGCATCAAAGTGATACTGAACAATGAATTTGTAAAATCTCAGCAAAGAATTTGAAGTAAATCCAACATTTCACTTGATAATCTGGTTCAACTTTTCTCAAGAAAATATATTATTCCTCTTTAACGTCTCACATGAACTCGTCGCCTAAATATTGTGAAACTATTCGTTCAAATTTAGAGGAAAGTTAAAATGTTAAAATTATATGAAATTGAGTAGTTTAAACAACTTTCTACTTTACTGAATTGAAGGTTAAAGTAATAGATGTTGAATATCAATCGTTTTACAATGTTTGTTATATTTGTTTATTTGTTTTTTCTATAAATGGTTGAAACCTATTTTTAAATAATATTTGCAACAACAAAAACTCCAAAATATCTGTTAAATATTTTCGCCTACTTAAATTATTTAAGTAGTATGTCACTTATATAAAATTTGTCAAACATCCGTTACATTGTGTAAGAAATTAAATTAATGATAATAATTTTTTTCGAAAAAAAACTGAACTTTAACGGATCCATAAATATTTCTGTATCATCATTACCTATCAAATTAAAAAAGTTATTGAACAAAGAATGTTTATTTTCTTTTAGAGAAACAGATGTAATTCATAAGCAAAGATGGATATTGGCTAGCAGTGGGATCCAGGATGCACGTTTCGTCTTATTTGGAACTCGTCAGCTGGATGTACCTGCATCTTAATCACAAATAAAATAAAAAGCACATTATACTGGATTCCCTTGCTAGCCACTATCCATCTATGCTTATAAAGCTTGTAACTCCAGGTAATATCGAGGCAGTCCACACAGGATGCACACATGCCAACAAGAGACTAATCAGTTGTAATCCCAAATACTAATTGGAAGATACAAGTAAACAACATCAACTGAAATGTAATTCATGTTTGAGTTTGTATTAAATCATTTCGCTAAATTAAAAATGAAAATTTACAAAAATGTTACACGTGTCTATCTGCAAAATAAAAAATAAATTCGATATCTTTCGTATACAGTGGATCAGAAAAATTCTATGAAATGCTTACTAGAACTTTACCCGTTTGATTTCAAATGGTGAAATTAATATATATATATATATTCAGACAAAGCTTCCAACAGAGTGTTGCTGAGCCGAATAAAGGATAATGTAAACGCCAAACTTCAAAATTAACACGCTTTATTTCCTGAGAACCGATCATGCAGTGATCAAATTATGACACTACAGATCATTGTTGAGTCGTCATTTGAATAGAACCCATCACTATACATCCTTGTTTATAACAGACAATTCAACAGTGTGGGTAGGAGGACGTTCTTGTATCTTCTGCGTTACTACCAAGTAACTGGGATTATTAGCATCATACGGAACTCTTATAAAGGACTAAGTCATGAATAGTGATCAACTAGCAAACGCATTTCAAGTGAGGACCAGTGTTAGTGATTAGACTGTTTTCTACCTCTCTTCATCTCCTATCTAGTGGTTAATTGTATTCTGAAAGCCTCCACAGCTTAGAAGGAAGCACGGAATACTGTGAGCATCTTGGACCCAACTAGATTATTCTGACTTCTCAAATGATCTAGACTTTCTATCCCATAAATAGCAACCAGTGCATGAACAATATTTAAAAACAACCGAAAAGAATAGTCCAGGAGAGAATTCGTTCAAAAGTTATTGTTGACAGCCTATGCAACATGAGTGATAACAGGCATAAGTAAAAGTAAGTAAAAATTAGTAGTCGTAATAGTAGTGGTAGTAGTAGTAGTAGTAGTAGTAGTAGTAGTAGTAGTAGTAGTAGTAGTAGTAGTAGTAGTAGTAGTAGTAGTAGTAGTAGTAGTAGTAGTAGTAGTAGTAGTAGTAGTAAGAAGAAGAAGAAGAAGAATAGAGAGGACTGTCAATAAGAAAATTATAAAATATTATCGATACAGTCATTTTAATTTACATGAATTGTAAAGATTCAGTTGAAGATCCACTTCATTTTGGTCGGTTGACTTTTTGCAAAATTCAAAACCAGGTTAAAACCTCAAAACAATTTCTTATTATTTCCGATAATCTCTAACTATTATTAATAAATCTTAGATCAAAACCTTTTTGAAATTAATCAAATTTTCATACAACATTAGAATGAAACTTTTTCCAACAAATCATCTTTTTTTTTTAATAACTTCCCTTGGAATCAGTTTCCCCAAGATCTAGTGTAATGCCTTAATCTATAAATTGAAGGAATTCGAAAATGAGAACATCTTATACATCTATGGAGTATGACGTTTTCCACATTCTATGATGAAATGGTAGAAAGTAAGAGCGTGAATCACTGAAATGAAAAATCATTTCATGGAGAAGTGTATATAACTTACATGAATACATTTCAATATAATTAAGGCGTATCATTACTAATTAAGTAATATATACTTTTACTAGTAATATTTCTAGTAGTTTTAATAATACGATTAACACCAGATAGTAGAATATAAATTTAATCATGTGTGTTGTCAATAATCAGAATATGGACTTAGATGACCTTGTTCCTGTGCTAAACTAATGAAACATCAAAAAGCATTAGCAGCCCTACATCAACTCTGGATCCTTATTTGCCTTCAAAATAGTAACTCCTCGTCTAGCTCTACCCGTTGAGTCCAGAACACAATCTCAGCTCCCACTGGATGAATCATATATTTCAGATATATTTGACTTATATATAAGTAAACCAGACTACATTATATCATAAAATAGAAAAATAGCAATTATACAAGATTAGGTCAAAAGTATTTGTGAGTGTGAGAAACTGTAATTCATAAACTGGGAATAACTTAAGAATAGTAAATTGCAGGTCGATTGAAGGCTTATGATAAAAGGAATATATATTTATATATAACCTAGTTGTTTAACGGTTATACAATAAGAATATATGTATAATAACAGTCCGTATATAGTTCTCGGAAGTTACCCATAATTTAATCTTCTCCGCTTGCAACAATATGCTTTCTAAATGTAAATAAATCTGATTAAACAATGAATAACATATTACTAAATTAACAATTATCAGTAATGTATATATATATATATAAATTCCTATCTTTCTGTTATATCCCGATAAGCAGAATGAATGGTAACTTTTGGGATCCATTTATGGACCAGTGCTATGAGTATATTTTTATCGTATAATTGTTATGTAACTAAACTGTTCATATTCATGTCGCTCTTATTATAAGCTTTAATTTGACCCATAGACTATTACTATACGATTTACCATTCTTGAGTTATGACCTGTCTATTAATTACTATCTCCCTCATTCACAGCCATATCTGGCTAATTCTTGTACAAATATTGTTTCCTATTTTATGGTACAATGTGGCCTGTTTGATTGGTATATCAACCCAGTATGTTTGAGATAAATGATTCATATTGCAGAGGCTGAGATCGATGTTCGGGACTTAACTGGCTGGGCTGGACAGGAAGCGAGACCAATCAGGACTCTAGGCTGTTCGCACGTGTTTTATGCGTCACTGGTTCGATCGATAATTCGCTGCTCTCTGATTGGCGGTATCGTTACGTTATCCAATATACAGGGCACACAGGTTCACAACCTATAACACTTTCATATTGTTAATCTTTATTATTATCATTCTATACTAACTAGCCATCAGTTTGGTGAGAGCTTTTGTTATAATCGAGTAAACATTGATTTGAATATTTTAAAAATGTTGTGTAACACCATGAATTAGGCAATTTCTTCGAATATGACAATGGTATAGTCAGTATTATTTGTTTTTTACCCATCTATCTCTCTCCCTCTTTTATTTTCAATTACAACTTAGTACTGTTAATTAGTAGTAATTGTATTTTAATCACTTTGGATTCACTTCCAAACGTTGATTTGTCTGCTTAAGGACTTTTTATAATAGTCAGGGAGTATTACTAGCGCTAATATGAAAATTATGGATTGGAGATGTATACACAAACATATACTTGAATACTATGTTACATTTAATGAACGTAGAAATTCAATCACCATATTATTAAATTAATCACAACTGATGAATTCAGTTATCTATGATCATTATGAAGGCTATTGACGATAAATAATAAATTTCATTGAAATCATGAACTGGTCCAATTTAGATCACCACTGAAAATCTGTAAGCACTCTACGGCCGTTTCGTCCTATTATGGGGCTCTTCAGCAGTGCGCATCCATAACCCCGCACGTAAGAATCAAACCCAGTTACCGTATATTCACTAATGACCAGCTTATAGAGAAACTGTCTAAATCTGTAGTGAGAAGTCTTGATTTATGGAGTTAATCCGTGTCGGACGTGATGTGTTTACTCACCGAAAACATTTGAAGATAGCTATCCAATATCGTGGTTTAATTGGAGTCAAAAATTAACGCCGTCAAATCCTGAACTAGTGATTTAAACGTTACGTGTTCTCACGAGAGACCGTATGTCCTGAGTTTAATTTCTATATGCGGGGATGCGCACTGCTGAGCGGTCCCATACTAGGAAGAAATGCCCTTCAGGTGCTTTCAGGCTTTCAACGGTTGTCTAACTCGTATTGATCCATGATTTCAATGAAATCCAACGATCTCCGCAACCCCTTACTGTCAATAAATAAAGTTTATCTAAGTGTTAGCTTCAAGTTGAAATATCACCACGACAAGTGTAGTTCAATGTACCATAACATTATTAATGGAATCCAGACTTATATTCTATTGGTAAATATGCATGTCACTGGTTGAAATTATGAGTCGATTGAAGCTAGACAACCATGGGAGACCTGGAAGCACTGGACGGCCGTTTACGTCCTAGTATGGGACTCCTCAGAAGTGCGCATCCATGATTTCGCACCCCAGGAGACTTGAACCCAGGACCCACCAGCCTCACGCCAGGCGCCTAACCAACTAGACCACTGAGCCGGCATATAACTGTGTTAATGTCTAACTTCAACCAATCCACGAAGTTGCGCCACAGTACACCATTGTCTTCAATCAGCTGATATCTCACAACAGACCTGGTTGGTTGAAGTTAGACATTAACACCGTTGGATGCCGGTTCAGTGGTCTAGTTGGTAAAGCGCTTGCGAGACTGACAGGTCCTGGGCTCGAATCTCGCGGGGTGCGAGATCGTGGATGCGCGCTGCTGAGGAGTCCCATACTAGGACGAAGCGGCCATCCAGTGCTTTCAGGTTTTCCATGATGGTCTAGCTTCAGTTGACTCATGATTTCAACCAGTGAAATTTCTAAAAATCTCCACAAAACCCCTTCTGATAAATATGAATGTGTTTTCAAAACTGGTTCATAACACAAACAATGATTAACTAAATAACCATCGAATAGATATTTCTCCCCAACATGGAACTCTATCACCATGCATTCGTGCCATATATAAAGTATTAGGGTATTGATGTTATCAATCAGAATTGAACCCGATTCATACAGCCTCATAGTCTGAGACGTTACCATTGACCTATTTGCGTCGTGACTGAGTTTAATATACTTACAATCCATTGACCGTCATATTTCATGACTCTATCATAATATACATGAATGGGTTGTGTTTTTTCAAAAACTCTTTCACCTTAGTTTGGAAATCACCAACTGTACACATCCAAAACTCAACACAGGAGCCCAGGCAGTTATCACTGATGACATTTAGTAGTGGTTATATTTTACTCCATATTATTTGAAAATGTTAATGTTGATCATTTGATTCCGTTTCAGTAGTCTAAATATCATGTACCCACCATGAGATTTGTAAATTTTCGGTTTAGCCCCTTAAGACATAGGATTTGACTCGATTGTGTCATGCCTTACATCAGCACGGCAAGAAAAGATTGGAAGACAGGGTATTAAATTAATTTTAACAGCAGTGAGACAGTTCAAAAGAAATAAATTAAAGTGAAGAATGGAAATTTGATAATGCCATAAAAACTAATCATCAAAATGAATAATGAGAGCGAATGCAGCTGCTTTACTATGACCAATTTTAAGTCTCCAACTATGGATTACGACTATTGAACATATTCTTAACAACATTCTTGTCTCTAACGAGATCCATCAGATTAGTGATTGTTAACTTCGTAGATTCATTATATATATTAATTTCTTGTCTCCTAGCTTTTTTAAAACCCAATTGTACACCGGGCTGTGCAACAAATTTAGGTAGACGGTGGTTACATATATATAATACAAGTACTCACCACCTCATCTTATAGATTCGTGTACAGTCATATATTGAAAGAAATGATTTTATGAATCGTAACAGCTTATCGATGCCTCTGACATTTGGTCACTGGAAAACAGTCTACTAAATGATATATATTGGTGACATATCTACTGGTTAAACTACTAGTTAGCATATTTAATGGTTTGGTATATACTGTTGGTCGTCATAGAACTCTTTCAATTCTCCTGAGATATATATTGCGACAATTATTAGAAAACATTTCAATATATATATATATATATATATATATATATATATATATATATATATATATATATATGGTTCTATTTACGGCTTGAATATGTTCTTTGTCATATATTGGTCATTCTTATGATAGGACGAGTCAGTGTAGACGATGATGTAACTTCCACGTAAGATCTTATAGATTAGGTAGTCACATCACGTCAATTCAATTTCAGGATTAGGTCTATTATTAGAACAGTACTAATAACGACGAAGACCTCAGTGATACAAATTCATTCCATTTTGAGTACGTTTACCTTTTCTACTTTACATAAGTTGATGATATCTATATGACTCATTCTAGATGTATATTACAGATGAAATATGGTCAGTGCAATAATTCAGTATCAAATAAGTTATTTGAATATGATAATTACAGATCCATATTTTAATATAATTGAGATAGATTGATTATTAGATAGTTTAATTGTAGAATTTTGATTGCCCTCAAATGCCTTGATACGGCCGACAGTGCAGAGAGTCCGCTCGCACTCTCGAGATGCTCCAACACGGCCACGCGTATATAGCCTCTGCCAAGGAATTCCTACTCACTTCCTTCTCGTGGCTCATGTGTTGTCTACGAAAATGAGAGAATGAAAAGCGAATGTCCGGCGCTTTAACCGGATTCCAAACCAATGGTGCACATGGGCTCCAGTATCTTGAAGGAACGAATGGTGTATGAACCAATCGTAAGTCACCGGCTACCATGAGACTGTAACTCCTTACGTTGCTCCATTGCCTTGTGGGTCAGACCTTTAGATCGAATGCTCTGTATGTGGCCCCTAAGTAAACCATCTGCTTCGGTTTGGGCACCCGGGTAGTATCACAGCCCTCACACAAATCAAATGCGATTTGTGTGGCGCATATGTAACTGGTGTTCTCTTGTGCCAGTATTTATGTGTTCAAAAAAAAGAATTTTGATTGTCATTCTAGATAACATGATCAATGCTTAACTTATGTGAATAGTCTATAAAGTAAGTGCTAATTCATATTATCCTAAATGATAATTAATTCCTTACATTAACGTCATCGAACTCAACAAAATTTAAACTATCCAACTGAGCTACAAATTTTCTATATGAGTTCACTGATCAATATATCGTCTAGTTGTTATTTTTCTGTGCAGTTTTTATTTGTTTAAGCTGAACAGTTTAATCAATAAATATAGTGATTGCCATTTTGAACAACATCACATGCACCGCAAATTTCAAATAGAAATAAACATCATTGGAATTTCTTTACATGTGATAAAACAAATTGTTTTGTTAATCATGAAAAATTTCATTAGGTGTTAGTAACAATTATTTTTTTCATTATATGAATATTGATTTTAGTGGAGTTTTGTTCTCTGAGCTGGATGGTTTGGTCGTGGAGCTTTCATCGTTCTTCTGAACGACATCATCAGTACAAACTTCAGATAGAAGTGAAGTGTTCGAATTTGATTTTTGTTCCCATATTTGTGCATGTGCACACCAGACTGCTGAAAACCTTCGGAATAGGTGTGGCACACAAACCGACAAAATCACTACAATCAATCCTGTGCAAACCAAAAGATGAATTAACAAAAGAGAACAAATCAAACATCATCTACAAAATAAAATATGCCAACTGAGAAAAACACTATATCGGACAAAGCGGACGCCCCCTCCACTTACGCCTACATGAACATCAATTAGCAGTCAAACGCCATGATATCTCTTCACTTATATCAATACACGTGGACAACTACGGACACTCATTCGATTGGAAAAATGTAGAAATCTTAGACAGAGGGAACTCCAAAAACACCAGAGAATTTTTAGAAGCCTGGCACTCAGGTCAATCAGCAATCAACAAACATATTGAAATCAATCCAATTTATCAACCAATCAGGAAGATCATGCACAAATATAGGGACAAAAATCAAAACAATGGGAGACATAACCAAAACAAAGAAGTAAACAATGACAAATTTAAGGTCACTAAGAACCAATCAACATCGAGGTGCACAGAACAAGCTGTGAAACACATATGGAGAAATTCGAACACTTCACTTCTATCTGAAGTTTGTACTGATGATGTCGTTCAGAAGAACGATGAAAGCACCACGACCAAACCATCCAGCTCAGAGAACAAAACTCCACCAAAATCATCCACCTGAGCTACAAATCTTCTCCACTATCTCATACTGATTTTAACTGTTTTCATCCCATGTCTTAATATTTAGTTATAATTTTGTAATTGATTATAATTTTTTCTAGTTGGTTGTCAATATTAGTGCGTATTATTAATTACTTACGGTTATTGTTCGGGGGGGGGGAGGGTGGTAAGTTTCTTTTTTAAAAAAATATTTGCTGGTGTTTTCCAATATTGTCTCTGTTTATGATTTGTGAACATTTCAGTTAAATCTGTGCTCATAATTATCCATATGCATTGATAACAATGAAGATTTGTTTTAACATTTGATATTTTATTTATTATTTATTTTAACACATAGATATTGGTACAAGGAGGCACCAAATACATACGCGCCAAACAAATCGCATTTGATTTGTGTGAGGGCTGTGATACTACCCGGGTGCCCAAACCGAAGCAGATGGTTTACTTAGGGGCCATATACAGAGCATTCGATCTAAAGGTCTGACCCACAAGGCAATGGAGCAACGTAAGGAGTTACAGTCTCATGGTAGCCGGTGACTTACGATTGGTTCATACGCCATTCGTTCCTTCAAGATACTGGAGCCCATGTGCACCATTGGTTTGGAATCCGGTTAAAGCGCCGGACATTCGCTTTTCATTCTCTCATTTTCGTAGACAACACATGAGCCACGAGAAGGAAGTGAGTAGGAATTCCTTGGCAGAGGCTATATACTCGTGGCCATGTGAGAGCATTTCGACAGAGTAAGCGAACTCTCTTTACTCTCGGCCATACCAGGGCATTTGGATGTCATTTACATAGACAAAGGTGAATAATATAACCATTTTGTACTGTATTATGTTTTTCGTGGTTAAACTGGATCATTTTATAGAATATATTTGATCTATTTTGTTGTTTCATTTTTCAGTTTGAATAAAATCGATCAGAGTACTTTTGCTGAAAATTATACTACAGTATGTACTCATTTGTTTCTATCAGATTTGCAAATAAATAATCTTACGAATCATAGAATTAGTTCTGTTGTAGCTAGGAATTCGATCTGTACCTTGTTGTGTTTTGATATATCTGAGTCTCTATTTTCTCTAAATTTATTTTAGTGATCAATTCATTTAAAAAAATTGGTAGTGTATTGTATGAATTTATATTTAGTATGAATTTCACGTGTATAGACTATTGAATTTTCATAATTTACTTAACAAATATATATACAAATAGAATGGTAACTTAGTAACCTAGTGGTTAAGTCGTCTCCAAGTGATCAAATGTTATCAGAATACACTTCTGCGAAGTGCTCATACTAGGACCAAACAGCTATCCAATGTTTTCAATTGAACTAAAATTAGTAATGTAAACTATAAATATTATTCACTTGGTGTTATTTTACTTGTCTCATTTCGTTGATGTTTATAATTGTAATTGATCAATCTCTTGTTCACATGTGCATCTTGTGCAAATAGTCTCGATATAGCCTTAAGTCACAAACTTTTTAAGCAAAGATAGATAGTGGCTAGCAGTGGAATCCAGTTTGACGCGCGTTTCGTCCTAGTTGGAACTCGTCAGTGGGATATACCTGCAACTCGTCGTTAGATTACTGTCTAGGGACTGATAACACATGAATATGATAGAAACACTTCGTTTTATGATAAGTAAAAGATTGACAGTTTTAACGTCAAAACATTATGCTACAAAGATATCTAAATACTAATCCAAGTTATACTATTGTAATTTTTCTTTATTTCTATATATATATAAGAAATATTAAGTTACTATCATTTATATACATGTTGTACACGTCAAGTTTACTCTGATATTAATACAAATATTTTATATTATAGAATCATTGATGACAAACAATGAACATTGTATATTGAATGCCAAATTATTTATCAATCTGAATCTAAACTAATCTCTTTATCAGTAGATAATAATCAACATTTTTTGATGAATAAAATGTCATATATATTGCTTGTTTATTTGTTTTTAAGAAAATAATAATTACTATGCATTATATAATGCTGTTCAATTTCACTCATAAATACCCTAGTACGACCGAGGGTGGGAAGAGTCATCGCTCCCACTGAAAATGCTCTCACATCCCCATACACATAAACCACTGTCAGAGAACTCCTACTCATTTCCTTCTCGTGTCGAGGGTGTTATTACGAAATTGAGGGGACGAAAAGCGAATGTCCAGCACTTTAATCGGATTGGTGGATATGCAGAATCCACCTAGAGGAGTTGGAAAACCCTAATTCCAAATCAGTGGTGCTTATGAGCTCCTGGATCTTGAAGGAACAAATGGTGTATGAATGAATTATTAGTCACCGGGTACCATGGGACCGCATTTTCTAAAGCTGCTCCATTGCCTTGGAGATTAGACCTCTGAATTAAATACTTGAGGAGTCGCTGCCTAATAGAACCCAGCTGTCTCGGTTTGGACACCGAGGCAGTATCATGCACAAATTGAGTGACTTGTATGGCGCATGTGTATTCAGTATCCATTTGTACCAATATTTATGTGTTCAAATAAATGAATAATAAATTCTTTTATATCTACCAATTAAAACACTTTAAAACATTTTCAAATTTGATAATAAATATATTTTTTGTTGTATTCTAATGAGTAGAAAAGTTGTATTTCTGATGTTTCGTGACTTAATGTGAACTACTTCTTCAGAATAAATTTGGCCAGATACTTACATCAGAAATATACTTGTGATTAACTTACTATCCAATGCCCAATTGATTTTAAAATCTATCAAATTCAATCATGGCAATGATACCAATTTTCAAATATGGTTAAATTAATTTATGTCATGAATCAATATTATTTGAGAAAGTTAGTCTCTACCTCCCTCATTCACAGCCACATCTGACTAATTCTTGTACAAATGTTGTTTCATATTTTATTGGTATGTTGTGGTCTGTTTGATTGGTATATAAACTCAGTATGCTTGAAATATAATAATTCATATCTCAGAGGCTGAGACTTGCATTTTGGACTAAACTGGCTGGGCTGAACAGGGAAGCGGAAGCAATCAGGACTCTAGGGCTGCTCATATGTATTTTACGCATCCTTGATCCGATCTATAAGTCACTGTCCTCTAATCTGCAGTCACAGTTATAACATAAACTTTCATAATTACTAGCTGATGTCTTATATGCCAGACATTGAGATCTTTGAAGTGAATACATTTTATGTAAACTTTTAGATCAGAATATTTAAAAAGAAAAATGTATTCAATTTCAAAGAAAGTTTTATGAATGTACATTTTGAATGAAAAGACTATTCTCACTTACTATTAAGATTTTCTATTAATCCAACATTTAATATGACTGATTTAGATGACCTGTTCTTATTTAAACTGTTTGGAGTCTGTTTTAGAAAGAAAAAACAATATGAAACAATTAAAATGACAAATTCATATATCAATGGTTGGGATCATGAGTCAAGTGAAGCGGTTAATTTATCCACTTACAAAGTTAATTACTGTGTTGAGTGTTTGAGAATAGAGCCATCTTTACAATTCTGTTTTTGCCCGTTCATACTTTAGCTAATTATGTGTTGTCGGTAAACATATTAGCTTGACTGAATAGGAAGCTTCGGGAAACAAAATTTAACAACCGTATTAGGTTCAATATTTAATCCAACAGTTTTAAATTAGACAGAACAATGAAAGTTTAATTATTTATGATAGAATAAAACTAGATATATCTGGGTCATTCATGATCGTCTGAAGAGTAAATTGGTCACCTGAATTTTCATCGCTTTCCCTGAAAAAAATTTGATTATCATATATATATATATATATATTTGTTTTGAACTTCCTACTCTCTGCCGTACCAGGGCCGAGAGTAGGAAGAGTCAGCTCTCCCTCCCGAAATGCTCTCAAACGGTCACGTGTATACAGCCACTGCCAGGAAATCCTACTCACTGCCTTCTCACAAGGATGTTGTTTGCGAAATTGAGAGGACTTAAAGCGAATGTCCACAGCTCTAACCGGGTGGGTGGACATGAAGGGTCCACCTAGGGGAGTCAGAAAACCCTGATTTCAAATCAATGGTGCCCATGGGCTCCAAATGGCATATGAATCAATCTTTGGTCACCGGCTACCATAGGACTGCATCTCCTGACGTTACTCCACTGCCTTGTGGATCAAAGCTTTAGGTCGAAGGTTGCGAGTGTGCGCTTCTAAGAAAACCACCTGCTTCGGTCTGAGCACCTGGACAGTATCACAGCCCACATACACAAACCAAGTGACTTGTGTGGCGCATATGTATTCGGTGCCCCTTTGTACCAATATTTATTTATTCAAATAAATAAATAAATAGGTCACAAAAAGTATTGGAAATTTATGCATGATTCGTGTATACTGTTTATATTCAAATTATATACAAATCATTTGATTACAAAACATTCACATCAGGTAATTAATGAAATTATTCAATATGTACAATAGATACTAACAAAGATGATCTATTTCAATAAATAATATAATCAAACAAAATATAATTATAATAGTTGAGATTATAAATCAATTGAAGCTAGATCACCATGGAAAATCTGAAAGCATTGGATGGTCAATTCATCCTATATTCTGAGACTCCTCAACAGTGCTCATCCATAATCTCATTTCATGAGATTAGAACCCAAGATCTATCAGTCTCGCGCGTGAACTTTTAATCTCTAAAGCATTTGAGTCTACCAGCATTCAACAATGTTAATCTATATTAATCAAAATTCATGAAATACTTACAGTTTTTCAAGTTCTTTATTTAATTCTTCTTCTGTATAATTTGGATTATTGATTATTGGATTTGATAAGATAGAATTAATTTGTTGTATAGTTTGTTTATATTCTTGATAATCATTCATATCATCATTATTATGATCATGATATAAATCTCTTTAAAACAAAATGATTATTTTCATTGGTCATATTAACTTACTCATAATTGGGGAGACTTTTAATTAATTTTAATGATTTCATAAGTTGATCATTAATTTGTTGATGATTATTTAATACATCTAAATGATCATTTTTATCATTAGATAATTGATTATCATTATATTGATTTATAGATTTTTCATTTGATGATTGCCTATTATGTAATCTATTAATTAATGCTATAATATAATAAAATAATAATAATCATTTATTGTTACTATGCTATAAATGAACTTACATTTTCGTGTTGTTTTTCTATTATCTTTTTTATTTTTTTGTAATTCATTATTATTTATTGAATAATTAAATTGATATTTTGAATGAATGATTTGTTCATTGGGTTCCTTTTTTGATTGATTGATTTTACTTTTAAATTTAATAATTGATTTAATTATTGAATGCATATAAAAAATATTTTAAATAATGAAAAATAAATAAATGATTAAACAATATGAAACATTGCTTAGTTACTAATATGTTTATATCACTAACACCACCACCAACAACAACAATAAAAAAATTCATTTAAATTGGTAAATGTTATAACATAAAGCCTGGTTAGTGATCATGTGATTTATTTATCAATCAAAATACGACTTATTCTATTTGAATACTGTGTTAAACCAATGATGTTCGATGTGTATGAGTAGTAGATGAGTAATAGATGTGTACTACAATCAATCATGTGTTTGCTTAGTTATGAATGAACAAGATGTAAGATGGTTGAATGAAGTGAGCAGGTAGCTTGAAATATAAATTTTGCTCTATCTCACACTCACCAATCAGAATGATATGCAGTATAGAAAGTGCAGATAATTCATATATCACTGGAACAATTGTCCCCTAGTGTCATGGTCGAAAAACGTTGTAATTCAGCCATAAATTCCACAACTAACATCTTTTAAGACTGCAACCTATAAGTCGCTAAATAATTCATGTTGATTGACTTGTATTCTCCGTAACAATAGTTACCTAAGTAAGTATAAATATGTTTGTTGATATAATCTTAACTTTTTAATTTATTGTTATGGCTTAAATTGACGTTGTTCTTGTCATTACTGATTGATTTCTTTACTACATATACAAATATCAGCAGCTTCAAACAGTGTATCAAAACACCATAGTTCAATACATGATGTAATGCATACGAATGTTCAGAAGTATACTGTGCATTATCCAGTGAATAATGCGTCGAGGTTTGAAACGAACGATATTCGATTTCAATCTCAATGTGAACAATAACACTGAAATACAGAACAACTGACTTATCGAGTCTCAAATCTGACGGAGCAGGCATCCTGGATACTATTATTAGCCATTATCCATCTTTAGTAGGACCTTTTGACGAGAATATGGTGGGAAGGGGCAAGAAAAACAATTATTGATATGTATGATGTGTTTTCTCGTTCACAAATAATAAGGTAAAAGTTTGTGATGAATGTCTTTAGCATTATGATATTGATGATGGAAATAATGAAGGGAACGGTCAAGTGGATGAAAGTTTTTTAAGGACAGCGTCTAATGTGCTCTTGTTAACGACAGCGTTAGAGAAGTACCGGAAAGGGATGATGATGATAATAGGTACTGATGATGCGGAATATTTTGAGGATAATAATCAAACGTATGTCGACGTAAAGTTATGCTCACGAATGATCAGTCTGATCCTACCTTCAATAGCAACCCAAGTGACTCATTCTGTTTGTAATGATTTGAACTATCTTTTTGTTGAAACTTCATCAGTCTTGTTTGGTATATGTGCATCCTGTATGGGTGGTCGCGATAAAACGATTATGACACAAGATAAGTATAGAACAGATGATACGTGGTTAGCGGTAGAACCCAGGATTGGCGTTTGGTTCTCTTTAAGACTTGTAACGCTGACTAAATATCAACTCCAGGATCAGGTACAACTACCTGATAAGTCTTAAATAGGACGAACTACACATCGTAAATTCCAGTGCCAGCTACATTTCACTGTGATTGAGGTTGGCTCTGTTTCAGCTGGTATTTGGTTGACTATCAACAGGTGAACAATGTAGCCAATATCTTATACGTATTCGTTTTACTTGTATTTTGCCCAGTATTTTGTATCTCCGACTCCGCCTGTTACTCTTCTAAAGCTACGGCCGATCCCGAGCTCGGGCGAAGGAGGAGGGTTGGGCGTGGGGTTAGCGACCACATCCCGTGGAAAACCAAATCGCTAAAAAAAACGCCCACCAGAAAAAATAATTTAAACCATTTAAACTCTACCCTGGGAGTTAGAAGGTCCTCATTTAGAAGATTTATGATGCCTCATTATGAAAGTCCAGTTCCTTCGGAAATCACAAGGTTGATGACCCTTCTAACAAACAGAGCAACAATTTTTATGGGTACATGGAAAGTCCGGACAATGTGCGAGACCGAAAAGACTAGTCAAATAGCAATGGAAACGAGGAGATACAACTTGGCAGTAATTGGAATCAGCAAAACTCACTGGACTCAAGCTGGACAGCAAAGGCTAGATACGAGAGAGATGCTGCTATACTCCGGTCACGAAGAGGATAGTGCTACACTCACTCAGGGAGTTGCTCTAATGTTGTCCAAAGAAGCACGAAATGCACTTGTAGGATGGTAATCTCATGGGTCCAGAATCATTAAAGCATCATTCAAGACAAAGAAGGAGGGCATCACAATGAATATTATCCAATGTTATGCACCCAACAATGACAGCAAAGACGATAACAAAGATCAATTCCATGAGAGGCTACAATCAATCATAGTGAAGTGCCCAAGAAAGGACCTCACCATTCTGATGGGAGAACTTAACGCCAAAGTCGGAATAGACAATAACGGATATGAAGATATTACGGGACGAATAGGACTGAGAGAGAGAAACGAAAATGGGGAAGGATTTGCAAATTCATATGCATTCATCAAATTGATTATAGGCAGCACAATATTTCCACACAAACGTATACACAAAGCTACATGGATCTCAACGGAACACACCACAGAGAACCAAATCAATCAATCAAGGGTCAATGAACATGTGCCCAGATGGCTTCAAAATCAGTGTATGTCAAATGATCCGATCAATGTAAGCGGTAGAAAACCAAGTTCATCGATAGCAAAACACATAATTGAGACGGGACACAAAATTAACATTAATACAGCATTTAGAATGTTGTATAGAAATTGTCAAGGTCGAATTCTTAAGTTTATTGAAGCCTTAGCTATTCGTAAATTTAAACCCCCCTTATGTGTACAAAAACAATTTGTCGTAACCTTGAATTTACCTTGGTAATCCTTAAGTCATTCTATGGCCTAGGATAACGCGACAATTTTTATTCTTTCTCCCCCCTTAGTTATTTTAATTATACTTTTATTTGTTTGTTTGACCTTTATTAATTTTCATATAAAAATGCCTTGACAAGTATATGTGTGACCAGATTGTTCGAAATGTATAGCGCAAATACATCACATTTTTCAGATCAACTCCGTCTTCTCATTGTTTTATCGAAATCATATTTACATCAATAAATTGATCCAAAGGACAATGGAGGATGTGAGAATCAAGAGAGGAGCTGACATAGCTTCAGATCATCACCTGGCAGTGGCCAAGATGAAACTGAAGCTAAAGAAACAATGGACAACTGGGAGAACGGCATTACAAAGGTTAAATACAGCCTTTCTTTGAGATACTAACAAATTCGTCGAATTCAAGATAGCTCTCAACAACCTCTTCTATACCTTACAGGATCTACTAAAGGAAGAAGAAACTACTATGTAGGACAAATGGAAACGTATCAAAGAAGCACTAACCTTAACGTGTCATGAGGTTCCAGGACGCAAGAAGCATCATTATAAGGAATGCATCTTTCTAGAAACACTGAACAAGATCAAATAAAGGAGGAACAAGAAGACAGTAATTTACAACAGCCGAACACGAGCAGAGAAAATCAAAGCACAAGCTGAATACATTGAAGCCAACAAACAAGGGAAGAAGGATATTAAAGCCGACAAACAGAAATACGTGGAAGAACTAGTAACGACGGCGATGAATGGTGCAAGAGATGAAAATAGGAAGCAAATGTATGATACAAAGAAGAAACTAGCACTGGGAATACAGTAAACTAGAGAGTCCAGTCAAGGACAAAGAAGGAATGCTAATCACTGAAATTCAGCAACAGCGGAACAGATGGGTAAAATACCTCGATGAACTCTTGAATAACCAGCTCCGTTAAATCCCCCGGACATCGAAGCAGCACACACCAACGACGGAAGAAATCAGAATGGCCATCAGACAAATCATGAGTAGAAAAGCAGCAGGACCTGACAAAATACCAGCTGAAGCACTGAAGTCAGACAAAGAAGCAACTGTGAAGATAATCCATGTTCCATTCGGGAAGATTTGGCATCACACTACTGACAGTACCAGGGAAGGTCTGCCATAGAGTGTTGCTGAACCGGATGAACGACATAGTAGATGCCCAACTTCGAGATGAACAAGCTGGACTCCGTAAGGATCGGTCGTTCACAGACCAAATTGCGACACTATGGATCATCGTCAAACAATCACCTGAAAGGTACTCGTCACTGTACATCAACTTCATTGATTATGAAAAGACACTTGACAGTATGGATAGGAGGACGTCATGGAAACGTCTTCGACACTACGGAGTTCCTGAGAAGACTGTCAATATTATCCGGAACTCATACGACGGACTACAGTGCAAGGTCGTCATGGTGGACAGCTGACAGATGCATTTCAACTGAGGACCGGCGTCAGACAAGGCTGTCTACTCTCTACCTTCCTCTTTCTTCTGGTGATCGACTGAATTATGAAGACCTCGATATCCGAGAGAAAACACGGAATACAATGGATAGCTCAGAACCAATTAGACGATTTGGACTTCGCAGATAGCCTAGCCCTCCTATCGGATACACACGAAGAAATGCAGATGAACGCAACTCGTGGAGCAGCATCCTCTGCATCAGTAGGCCTCAACGTACACAAAGGGAAAATCAAGATCCTCAAACACAGCACAGAGAACACCAATCCAATCACACTTAATGGTGAAGATCTAGAATCTTTCATGTACCTGGGAAGCATCATCGATGAACAGGGAGGATTAGATGCAGACGTAAATGCGGGGATTGGCAAAGCAAGGGCAACATTCCTACAATTGAAGAACATGTGGAACTCAAAACAACTGTCTCTCAACCAATATCAAAGTCACAATCATCAACACAAATGCCAAGGCAGTTCTACTGTAAGGAGAACTACTACAACAATCATCAAGAAGGTTCAAGTAGTTACAAATATCTGTCTTCGCAAGACATTCAACATCAACTGAGCGGATACCATCAGCAACAGCCTTCTCTGGGAGAAAACAAACCAGCTTTCAGCTGAAGAAGCAATTACGAAAAAAAGATGGAAAAAAGGATAGGACATACATTACGCAAATCATCAAACTGCAAAATGAGACAAGCCCTAACATGAAATTTTGAAGGGAAGTAAAAAAGAGGAAGGCCAAAGAA